GAAGAAGGTTTAACAGCTTTATTATTTATCTATAACTTTACTAATACATTTATATAATTAAAATTTTGGCTCTAGACATAATTATGTAAAGAATAAGTCATGCTAGCGAAGATATGTGAATATACATTATAATAACAATATTTTTATTGATCAAGAGTAAGAAAGAGTATTATGTTTGTAGCTCACAAGAGATATTGCATATGTATGTAAAACTGAATAGCCTAAATAAAAAAAATAGCTTAATAAAAACATGCTATTATTTTCTTAATAGTAGTTCTTATATACTTATATGACTTTCAGGATACTTTGTGAAGCGAAAGAAAACAAAGTGTGATTATAATGTTAAGGAGAATTTCTTTATTTACTTGGTATTTTTTTTTAAAATAATAATAATAATAATAATAATAATAATTATCAGTAGTGTGAACATAAAGATATAGAAATATATTCCCCAAAGAAATATAAATGTTATCTAAAACAAGGTAATACTCAAATGTATTCAGTGTTGGTACTATTCAATGTATCTATTAGATAATACCAATAGGTCCTTGATAGAAATATGCGATAAAAAATACGCAATAAAAATATGCGATAAAAAACATGGAGCTTTTACTGAAAACATGAAACTATTTAATTTTCATATGAATTTGTTTTGATTTATCCAAAATAGGCTTTTACGCCTTCCGTGCTGCGCCATCCCCATTTTTTTTCATATAAGAATCGATACAATTCTCAATTTCCTGTTATCCCTCCTCTTCCTCCTGGTTTCCTTTCGGTGGTCCTTGGTTTCCGACACGGTAAGAAAATTGTCTTTAAATGCCTATATCCTTCTATCCGTATAAGGTGCATACTGATATTTATTATGAAAACGCACCCCAGACGCGGTTTCTAGCTAAGTTCCAAAAATGATGTCCAGTCTAATAGCAGGTAAAGTATTATACAGACATATGCACACTTTGACACGGTCAATATACTAACTACAGCACAGTGTTTTCTTGTGCATGTTTTTTTTTCTGTCTTCTATGCCCAGCGTCCATTCCACTGTAGCCACGGAGAGGTCCTTCACGTCAAGTTCATGTACCAGGTAAGTAAATACACACACACAGATGATTTGACACGATCACCACACTAACTATGATTTGATGTTTTCTTTCTTTCATCACAGTGTCCAGTGTCCAGTGCCGTTTTGCTTTTAAGCACAAGTACTTTTTTAAACCCTACGCAGTTATCTGCTAGGTAAGCAAACACACACACGCTTTGACACGATCAATACACTAACTATGATTCGATATTTCTTTTATTTTATCACAGTGTCCAGTGTCCCGTCCCGTCTTGCTTTTTAGCACAAGT